TGGTTCACGGACCATAACGAGTGACCAAACCGTATACAATAATTCGTCTTCTTTTTGAATTCATCGGTATATCACCGGATATAAATTATTAAGAAGTAATAAATTTATTATTTTTTGCCTGGATTATATTTCAATATACTTAAAACTGAGAAGATATTGCAATATTTTGGGCAAAATATTCTCGACGTGCATGGTACGTCGCTCCAGCGCAAGAGGTTAACAGTGACATTTTGAAACGTGACTTAGCTCACGAGCGCATTCTCCCTGCTGGGGATGAAACTTTGCACCTGCGTACCTTTCGGCAGGGTCACTCATCCGCTTTTCTCCTTTTATTTTCCAACTCGGTCGTTGTCAGAAACACGACAGAAAAACGATTTTTTTACCGTTATCTATGTATTATTTTGCACACGGTTTGTAATAGTACTTCGATCAATGACAAAAATATAAAAGAAGGTTAAGCTAGTCACGAACGGAGCTTGATCGTTTTCTTAACCTTTTAGTTTTTTCTTTTTTATCACGGGTATTAAAAGAACTAGCAATGAGTCATTTAAATGATAATTCGACAGAGGTGCATTTGAAGCTCATTTGTTAGCAAATATATAATGCAAATTTATTAATTTACGCTGTGAATTTATATGCATTTATGAAGGAATTTTCCGACTATATTGCGACGTGCATGTGTTTTCGCTGTAAATCGTGGAAAAATAAATATCATTGCGCTCCAATGCGCCACAGGTCAAGTATATTCGTTCGTATACAATTTCTACAAAAGGATATTTGCAGTCGAGATTAAGGGTCTGGTTCGCGTGTAGCGTCGCGTCGCGTCGCGTCATGTCATGTCGCCCCATGGGACGTTTGATTGAAATGACGAGCCGATGAAAGAGGGTCACGTTCTTTCTATTTTTAACCCGTAACTCTCGTTGGTAGACTTTAATTCAATTCATTAAGGCCACCTACCCGCCGTGATTCCACGGCACGTGACACTTCCTGGCCATTTTCGTGCTTTCATCTCTTCTCTGTCGGAGTATCTTTGTTGTTTATGTTGTTTCTCCTACAAAGTGACTACTTTCGTTGGGATTTTTAATCATCACACTTAATTAAATGATATTACTCTGTAATTTTTTTTATTATTAATCCCTTAGATGATTAGACGTTAAAGGAAATATTTATGGAAATTCGTAGAGTTAACGACAGAGCTTGAAACATTAATTTGTGTATAAAATTAGTAAAATTATGATTGTCGTGAATTTAATTAGTTTAGTTAGTTTTTTTTCTTTACCATTGTGTTTAATACGAAAAAATAAATTTAGTTGCTAAAACGAGTAGGCGGATGAAAATTAAGTCGGAAGCCACCAGCGGCCCTTAATTAAACGGCCATTCGTCTCACGGAAGTCGAAGAACGACATTAAATGAGAGCCGTCTCGAAATAGAGCGAGCCTTTTTTTTTTAATGGAACTTTTCACCGAGGCGAATATCAGATTGCGCGCTAACATATTAAGATATTAAACTGCGCGCGCATCTTTGATAGTTTACGACGATTATCGCGTTCTATGCGGCGACAAATTAATTCACTAATTATCTTATCTATCACTTTTTTTCATTCCTTTCAACGTCATTTGAAGAAAATCGCTCGACTGAGTGTTTTATGACACGGTTGTATAAGGTGAGATTTAAAGCCTCGCTGAATAAGATCGATAATCGAATGCATATGCAAATACGTGCGTCAAGCAGTTCCATTTGCTTATCATGTCTCAACGATGTGATCGTAAATTTCGTCGTTCGTATAATATGAACCGACTTTGTTTTGTAAATTCAGTCGCTCTCGGAGTAATAATGCTTTCACGACTACGATACGTTAGGCAATTAGGAAACACATAAATAGTAAACAATAAAGTCAATGAGAAAAATACAATTTCATTTAACTTGCAATCATTATTCGAGATACGATATAGAAAATGTACGTATTTTTAAATACTATATTAAACAAAAAAAAAAAAAAAAAAAAATACTTTTTTCTAATAGAAATTATCTCGCAAATTATTGCAAATTTTTATTTAATATTTTTCTGCGTAGATGTTATACTCTGTAGTGAAATATTTAATACGAATTACTCGAGGATATTTGAGTGATCATTGAATTATCGAGAATTCGCGGGTTTGACCGCGCAATACAATTACTATCAATATTCTTTGTAATTGAATGCGTTTGCATAGGCGAAATATCAAGAAAAGAGCGAGAGAGGCAGAAAGAGCGGCCACGTTATTTTCTACGCGGTTGCATCGCGATGCATTCAGTAAGTCAACATGTGTGGCCTTGCTGTGCACGTGCTCGTTTGTTCCGATTAAACGGAACAGTTCCTTTTCAGCATCTCTTGTAAAATGAATTTGATCGATTCGTCACTTGTCATCTTTTATCTGCTGCTTCGTCCTCAAAACCGAGTTTCGCAGCTGTTCTTTCGGCTTTCTTTTTTTCAATTTTTTTGGAGTCGAAGAACTTGAAATTACAGATCTTTCTTAATTCTGTTGAATTTGAAAGGGATTCCGGACAGAGCTTATCGATCATTCTCAATTGTTCGGGATTTGTAGCAACGAGAAGACAACTCCGATATTTAAATTATATTCATTCAGAATGAAAACGAGGTATGTATAGGATGGAAAAGTTTGTACCTACGAGTAGAACTTTTCCAAGTGTGATTTAATTTCAATTGAGTTGGTTTTCATACTCAAATTGGTGAAGAATAGAGCTTCTTATTGCAGCAGTGACTTCAATTGTGCAAAACTTGGTAGAAACTCCGGGAATTATCGATCGTTGCGCGTTCTTAGTTGCGTTGGTAACTGTCGTCGCGAGTTTCGCAATCGAGGGTTGGAAAAATGTAGTTTAATCTTATTCATCGACAGCCGAGCGACACTTTTTATGCAATTGCTTTCTCTTCTTCTCCTGTGATCCGCCCAACCTGGCGTATTTCACTCGAATCTGTCGTCTGATGAAGTTGGATAGCTCGACCAGCCGACACAATCTGTTCATATTTATCCGAACCAACTCGCGAGAATATACGTAATGACAGCTCTCTATTTCTCTCAGATCCACGTTATTCCGAAAACGCTGTTTGATTACCATCTCTTCGTTGACACGAAAATTTCCTTCCAAATTGATAAACGTATCGAGTCGTTTTCGATTTAGCGTTTTGATGGTTGCCAAATAAAAGGGAAGTAATCATTGGCGAAATTCGGTGCGCTGAATGCAAAAGCTGTCGTTGCACACGAAGTTATCGTCGTTATATTGACCATTGGCGATAACATGAGTATATTTACGTTCGGTTTATACAAATCACGCTTGTCTGTGCCACGACTTATCGCGTACTATACGCCTCGCGGGCAAGTTAAGGAAATCAAGTAACAAATGATGTCACTCGACGACCACCAGCTTGTTACTTCTTTTTTATTTCCTTCTTTTTCTTTCCTTCGCGATTTTTATATACGTCCAGTGATTTATTGCCACGAGTTCATTTGTACGACTATTTATATCGAAAATTTAAATTGAAGAAAATATTTGTACGGGCGATATCGGGATTTATATTCCTCGCTTTTTATTTTGTATCAATTTAATGGAATACTATCCTCGGTGCGGGAGTTCGTCGATAAAAACGAAGATAAATGTAAGTTTTGTTCTTCAAAGTCGCAAGCGATGCTCGTAGGTCAGGCTTTTGTTCGATTAACCTTCTAAGTACTAACGTCCGATGTATCGACACCTATATAATATCTGAGAAAACCGAATGTCCGACATATCGACGGTCTCTCCTTGTTTTGAGTGGCTCGAGTCTTTATTTGATTTGATTGAACTTTGAAAATATAGGAACTACAATAATTTATATGAAAACATGTAAAATTAAACTTCGCCTGGCGATTTAAATCCGTCCACTAGCGAAGGCGGATTTAAATACCCTGTTCTTAGAAGGTTAACACGATTGAATTAATATATTCGAGTTAACAAGTATATCGTTGATAAAAGGGATGGAATTGCGAATTAATTACACGGCGAATCAAACTTCACGAATTGCAGATCACTCGATTATCTTGATTTTACGTGAAGTGGTGAAATGTTGCGAAACGCGGGGCAACTTGGCGTGCTTGTAACTTCTCCAGTCTTCGGCACAAGACTTGCAACGCGTTACATTCCGTGTAACCGTCGGAGCCAATAATCAGAATTCCCTTTTCCCGTTATGCAACTTCAGCGAAATTTCAGCAATTTTCCCCGCGATTTCAATGGAACATCGGTTTATCCGTGAGAATTGTCAGAACGTCCGATGCACGATCGATCGAATCGATGTTTCATTATAATTACGAGCAGCGACTGCGTTATTCAAGGGGCGTAATTCTGTAATTCGCTTAATTGGCGCGAGCGGAAATCCAACGCGGATGCCGGAGAGAATGTATCTATCCACTGTTCCTTGAAATTCGAACGAACCGGAGAATCGTATAAAAAAATGTTTGGTCAGATATTAGCATTTAGATTGAATGTTGGAGAATTTTGTAGAACGTACAGTTTGGCAGCGACGTAAGGATTTTGCGCGCGGAATTGATACATTGAAGAAACAATTTTGCTCGTCACCTCGCGTGTTCCAAACGAGGTAAATAGAAGAATAGGACGAGAGATGTTTGACGTTCAGCGCTCTTTGAAACTGTGTAATTAGCTATTAAGCACATCGTGCAATAGAGACCATTGTGTATCTTACTCTCTAATTTCTCGCTAGACGGTGTGCAATCTCACGTACGAAAAATCTAAGTCGAACAATTCAACGTAGATTTCACTTTTTGTGAAAGCTGTTATTTCCAAGAATCAAGAAACTCCGTGCTTATCTTGGACTATATATATATATATATCGCGACTCGACAGATTTGTCTTTTAGAACGTAGAAGCGTCTCGAAGTTCCACTAATTAAGAATCGGAGCGTTAAGAATCGGCATCGTGCCTATGACTTGTGTATTTCGCAGTTTTACGCGTTATCTTTTTTTTTTTAAAGAGTCACTGATAAATTGTGATGATTCATTAATTAATAGATATCGCGCAAGAATGTTTCTGGTTTCTATATCGTGCGTGTGACGTTGCCAGCTAATCGTGTAGGCATGGAAGATGAACGTGGAAGAGACACGGGAATACACGAACATTCACCAAGTAAAAATTCCTGCATCATGTATGTTATGTAAAACATTTTGGAATTTCATTAATATCGTAATGTTATTACAGTGGCAAAATTTGAAATTAATTTGGAAATGAGCTTATAGAGCAGTGGTTCCTTTTTTTTTTTTTTTAGCCATCTCTAAAATCCTGATGCTCCTGCAACACATGATTTAAATTATTATTCGAAAAGTAAATTTTTAACGTGGAGGAAGTCTAAAAAGTATGTGGTATCCATGAAAGAAAAAAAAATTAGAAAGTTAAATTTTCATTTAAAGAAATGAAAAAACAATTCATCAGTTGATAACTCATTCTCGAATCCCCCCCCCCCCCCCCCAAAAAAAACAAATTAAAGGCCCTACGTTAGAGATTAGAAGATAAGGTATGTATCTATCGGGAAAAAAGGTTATTTCATGTAAACGCGTGCTCAAAAAATCAACGTACTTTGTGCCTGTTAGTTTCCCATCAAGAAAAAAAAGTCCAATGAAAAATTTATCAATTATTCCTGCCCATACGTTTAAACTAAGCTGGTGTTGATGTCTTGAATGCACAATAACATGTGGGTTTTCTTCATCCCAATTATGATTATTATGAAAATTGAATGTACCATCCCTGGTAAAACGAGCTTACTAGAGTTTGCTCTGTTTATAAAATTCATTGTATCTCATAAACAAGAAGGCAGATAGGACATATATTTACATGTCTTTTTTTCGTTATTTTTAGGCGTACAATCAGCTCCCGAAGTGGGTCCCACAAGTTACGAAACATCCTGTATATATGTGTACGATAGTCAGTAACAAACCTTGACCATGAACCAATGGATATGTTTCCTTGAGTCGATCATACTCCGATAAAGATCGTTTCCGTGACTGGGAATTATTAGATATGCTTCTCCGTTTTCCGGGAAATCCCGTTTTCTTTGTTTTCGCTGTTGGCGTGCACGTTCCAATCCGAGCGATTTAATTTGACGTTAAGTGTGGCGTCCTGTTTTCAGACTTTGGTGGTCAGATCCTTTCAATCAGTGTCGCGAAGAGGATAATTATTGCATCAACTAATAACTACGTAACAGGCAAATATCATCTTTGAAAATCGATACAGAGGCACGGTTACGTAGTAGAGTGGTTTTCCAGGGAAGAGTATAAAAATAAAATACACTCGGCACTTCAAATTCAAAAGATTGTTGTGTGATTTAAAATTAGTGTTTTAAATTCAGCCTGTTGTTTTTACGCAGTTGTTCGGTATCGTTCTTCAAAGATAATCATACATAATTAATTTCGCTATTATCTTTGAATTTCGCAAACTGAGAGTAATTCAGTTTAATTTAATTTATTCAACATTGATACTAATTTCACGTTTATAGAAAATTCACGATGTGTTTGTTACGAAATTCGAATGATAAATAAAAACGCGATTCCCTTTTCTTTATACAAATGATGTTCATCTGAAATACAATTGCTAATATTGAAAAACTACAATTGATATTTACGATTTATTTATAGTATTTTACAGCCAAAAGTTTCCTCTCGCTTATTTACTTTTTTTTTTCTTTAAATAAAACATCGAAATATAAGAGAAATTTTATTAATCTTATAGGAATCCCGGCTTGAGGCCCCAATTTGTAGGAATTTTGATAAAAGAATGGTTGTTTATTTTAGGTTAAATAAAGGAAATTTATTTAATGACGATTATAAATGACGTTTTACACTATTTCCTTAATTGCTAAACTCGCTAGGCTCGCAGCTCTCAATTAACTCTCTCTCTCTCTCTTTCTCTCTCGTGTAACTCTCAACTCACTATCTTCTCTCTTTCACGGCTCGCTCACTCTGCTCTCTCTGACGTCTTGACACTCACCCTGTTCTCTTCGACTTCTCTATACTTACTCCCCTGAAAATTCGTCATTCCTACACGCATACATACATACACACAAACGCATCCATACCCTTAGTGCTTAAACGCTAGGCCTGGAGGGCTAGCCATAAACGATCCCAAGTCCCAGGCCTAACTTTTTCTACAGTTTATGATACACCACTTGGAACATCTGCAGTCGTCGGGCACTAGGGTAGAAAGTTCTGGGCCCTTTCCCAGAATTTGCCCATCCCAGAATTTTAAATGAAATTTAAGTTCAAGCATGATTTTTTCGTTATATTTTCAAAATTATCTCTTTCAAACGTTGAGAAAAATACATGACAAAAAGAAAAAAATTGCGGATTTATTTTAGTGGGAAGTGATTTTTGGCCCACCCTGTATTATGAGCTTATACTCTCCGGTAATTTAATGTAGCAACAAGTAATTTATACATTTTATACTTATATTTGTTTTTTTTTTTTTTATAGAATCATGGGTGGAGCTGAATCCTGTTCCGGACAGGATAACACCGTTACCATTCAGCAGTGGCGGAGAGGAATATTTGCGACTTCTGAGAGAAGCGCAAAGAGATTCTCTTCCCTCGTCTGCTAGACATTCTTTGGCATCTTCCCGTCGAGGCACACCAAGAGATAGGTAAACCATTTACTTCATCACATCTGCTATTCTCATTATAAACGTTTTCTTAGTTCGTTTTCATTTAATTCCGTCAATTATAAAACCACTTCTGAAAACTTTCAATTCTCACACCAATTAGGTATATATTTCAACAAAGGTTTTTTAAGGATGATTTATTTTTTAGTTGCAAGACGCGGTGCGATTTAAAAAAAGCTGAGGCTGAAGTTAAAATCAGTATTACGATTTATCGCGAGACACTTGAAGGCAACTTCAGAAAGTTGATTTTTCCAGAAATCTTTTTATTCTAACCATTGATAGTGTTATCTAATCTGACAAATACCGTTCAATAACGTAGGAATCGAGTAAATTTGTAATTCGATTAAATTTAATCTGAAAAATGTTCGGGACACTGCCTGTGTTTCTGAAGTTTCAAAAAATTCATGGTGGCATACAGTGGCATAAAATTCTTTTTTCTTTTTCTTTTTTTTCTTTTTTTCTTTTTCTTTTTTTTTTTGAAATTCAACCGGTCTGGGTTCTCGAGAAGAGCCATTAGAAGTCTGGTTTGTCTTGTTCCTTGCAAGTGCAAGTACGGACTGAAGAAGCAAAAGGAAAAAGAAAGAAAATAATAAACATTGGCTGGCATGAGTCAGACGTCGGTTCAGAGGAAAGCCAGGGAAGAGTTTTTCTGGCCGGTTTCTTTGTGCTCGTAGGTGTTGGTACGTCTGAAGAATGATGAAAAGGGAAGGAAAAGGCAAACAACAGTGTCTGTGATCTGTCTGTACATACAAGTGATTTTTTCAAATCCTTTTTATGATCTTTTTCTTTCCCCGCCGACATCTGCTACGCTGGAAGCTTCTAAATGATTTAACATTTTTACAGTCAGTGCGTAAACACACGGTAGATCTAAATTCGTGCAACAAGTGAAGCTGGGAGTATTTTACGGCCAAAAGTGAAATGTAAAATCAAAAGAATTAGAGAAATGAATCTGAAACTTTGTCAAGTATACACGAATTTATCTAACGTTCAAGTTAAACTAAACGTGAGGGTTATCTCATGTGCGAAGATAAGATAAAAATGTAGAATGAAATTTTTTCGCCTCAAGTGTCGTTTTCCAAAAAAGTTAAATTTGAAAAATTTATTGAGTATTAGCCGCGTCGAAATTTTGTTTCTCTTCTGAAATTGTTAGAAGCTCGAAACTGCGTTAAAAAAAGAAAACAAAATTATGTTAGAAAAATGAATTTGAAACTTTGTCAGGTATACGCGATTTGCTTAAAGTTCAACTTTATTTGCGAATTGTGCCGCGTATGAAGATAAGATAAAAAATGTAGAATGAAATTTTTTCGCCTGAAATGTCGTCTTCCAAAGAAAATTAGACTTGAAAAATTTGTCGAGTACAATGTAGTTCAAACTCCATCGAAAATTTTCCTCTCTGTTCGAAATTGTTCGAAGCTTGAGATTATAGCAGCCAACTACGTCGTTATTCGACTGAATTCTCCAAATAAAGTTGAAGATAAGCTTTTCTTTCAAAGTTGCGTGTTTCGCTCGTTTAAATATGTGTCAACATACGCCATACGGGCAGCAGTGAAAATATTATTTCGCGCTCTCCTTCTCGTGATCGATTAAAACCGCGGATAAAACAGAGCAGAGAACTTTATACTATATATAAATTGCATAATTAAGTTTCAAGAGAAAATACACAGTTGATAAAATAGGTACGTAGGTACTGATCGATAAGTTTTATTGTTTCGTTTTATTATATGCTGAGCTTCGAAAAAATTTCTACAGATATTTCTACAGAATAAAGTAAAACGCAATATGATTCGTTCGTAATTTCCTAATCTAAACTCTTCTTGTTAAAAATAATCACGTGTCTATGCTTTCGAATGGTAGTAGTGCGGGGTAATGGTAGTAGTAGTATGTACACATTACATCGTTGTGTCTTATTATTTGCGACGTTTGATTTGCGAGATTGATGCGTGGATTTTTGATGAGGTCATCTATTATCATTCGTAGTTCCGCGTGAAAGATAGGAAAAAAGGTATCACGCGATGTAGAGGTCATATGACAAAATGTTTTACAATTTATATGTCGCGTTATATATCGAGCAACATTGTCGATAAGAGAATCGAACCGTTTCGCGTAAAGCTAACTACTAATATTTATCAAATCAAAATATTTATTTATTAAATATCTTTAATTTCTCAATGATTCAGTTTCTGAAACTTGACGGATCTGTTTTGCAGAAAATTTCCTAGCTCAAAATCCTTTTGTTTAAAAACAGTTTAAACAGGAAAAATATTTTAGATGATTCGCGTATAAAAAAAAAAAAAAAAAAAAAAAAAAAAAAAAAAAAAAAAAAAAAATGTGTAAAATTTGTGAAATTTTTTATTGCAGCCCGAAGAGTCCTCCGAATAGCCCCAACACGGAACTATCTACCGAAGATGAGCTTAAAGGAGTCTATATAAATTACTGCTGCAACAAGGTCAGTTCCATAATCGATTTCTAATATCACGTGTTATCCACCACCACAAAGGATTTTGCGTATTTGTGTCTCGTTTAATCTATCGAATTGCATTTATCGTGGAATCAAACTGATTGATCTCTATTGAACATCCGTGTGTACGTCGAAACCTTGTTGCACGATTATCAATGATAATAATCACGGAGATACTGGAAAATGATACTATTCCATTCATGTAGTTGTTCCCTCTGTGGCGCATGCCTAAACGAAGTGTTAAGAGACCATGCAACTCGTTTTATCGAACGAAACAAAGCCGTGGCTAGCATTTTCCATGCAAGGTCCACAGATCAATGACTCCTTTAGCATGCACCTTCTCGCATGCATTGTGGCTCATAGAACAACGTGAGAGGTGTTCCATGTGAATTCCCTTTCATATTACGAATTGCCGAGTGATCAAATGACTCGAAGAGAGTTAAATTCTAATATAGAAATCTTTTCAAACGCTAGTCGTATATAATAAACATTATTAGTTGTTAGTTCGTGCCACAGCTCTTTCTTGACGCTCGTTTGTGAAAATGACAAACATGAAATCAAAATGAGACAAAATTCTTAATTTGAGGGACTCGCGAATAAACTTATAAGCTAATAAACGCTAGTACAGAAATCTTTTGAAAATTATATAAATGAGTAAATAATAACAAATATTATCTCTCATAAAAACGTTACTGCGTAGAAGAAGAATTGGAATTTCATATTAACCAAAAGACTTAGAATTTCATCGGATCGTTGAAGAAATTTGAGAATCAATAAAACTACGAAGTCTTTGTTCAAATCAGTGGAATAACTGCAACAGGATCATCATTTTGTTAGTTATCGCAGCAAGGAATCTTCGATTCTCTCCCCTTGAGAGAAAAACTAACGTGTTCTTTTTACTTATTCTTCTTGTTATTTTCAAAAGTACGCGCAATATGTGAACATATATAACTGACTAACTAATATGTAAAAATATGTAACTAATTAATATGTAAAAATATGTAATTAACTAATATGTGAAAATATGTAACTAACTAATATGTAAAAATATGTAACTAGCTAACTAATATATAAAAATATGTAACTAGCTAATTAATATGTAAAAGTATGTGACTAGCTAACTAATATGTAAAAATATGTAACTAACTAACTAATATGTAAAAATATGTAACTAACCAACTAATATATAAAAATATCTAACTAACTAATATGTAAAAATATATAACTAAAACAGGTATACTTGTTAATTCGTTCTCGAGGCGAATCAATCTGTCTTTTCGATCATCGGCGGGGTTATCAATGTGAAGTAACATTGTGCAAAAACACGTGTGGCGTCGGAACACGAAAATAACGAGAAAGACTATCAGTAGGATGGGAGCCGAATGAGTAAGGTCGATAACGAGCCGCAAACACTGGCGAAGATTTTTCCATGAGTCAGTTGCTCAACCGTGTTTTCAACTTGCTTGCACGCAAGCTCCTCCTTTGTGCACACCGTTCTCTCTCTTTGTGGAGGCAAGGTCTTGGAAAGCCAGGCAGCAGACTTGCGTTCTCGAATCTTCCTCGACGTATCCTTGGTTTCTTGTTTCAACCGCTTAGATAATGTATTAAAAATGAAATATCTTAAGAAGCTTCTGTTCCCCTGGCTCTGTACATCTTATCTTCGAGCGCGACACACTCTCTTTTTTTTTTTCCTTTTCTCCCCGTTGTTCTCTCCCTCTCTCCGTCCAAGTGTCGCGGCTTTCTGAACGTGTTGATTCATTCGACTTGCATGTATCGTCTTCGTCGCTTTATTTCTGTTACATTGACGAGCGTGACAAAGTCACTGTGAACGAACGGCCTTGATATTTAGCGTAAAGATAGGGAAAAGACAATTTTTCGAGCTTCTTTTCTTTTTCCTTTAATTGAGCAGCGTTTGCAATCTTACGTAAAGTTTATTTCATTTGAGCACAAGTATACGTTATACAATGTTTGTATAAAAGAAAAAGCGCGTAACTTGGTACAATCTCGTTACGTAAGTACACGATTAATTCTCGAAGCAATTATTTGCAAGAAAGTGACGTGAACAATTGCAAATTCGAATGTAAATTTAAAAAAAAATCGTATTTACGGTGTCATCGTGATTCTTTTTCGTTTTTCAATTTATTGAGTTGTTCGACGTAGCTTTTAAGTGATTCATTTGTATAAATATGAAGTACATATATATATATATATGCACACAAACATACAGCAGAGTGGAGTATAACATTCGTGTATTAAATACATAACTTTTAGTACATAATTTTTATTATTGTGCCAAATTATGGCAAATTTCTAAAATATATCATAGTTTCTAATTTTTTTAAGTCATACAAGCAAGCCAATGAATCTTTTTGAACTATTGACTAGCAATCATATCGAGTTTTTTGTGTGTTGTTAAAAAGTATAATATTTCTAGTCGACAGTGTTACGATCGCGAACGATAGAAATTTACTGACATGTGATAAAGTCAGCGTGAACGAACGACCTTGATATTCGCAGTTACAAGGGAAATGAAAGAGAAAAAGAAAAGAAGTGCCCGTCGATTGCTACTGCGTCGTTGAATTGAAACGACTTGACACGCGCGCTGCGCATTATTCGTAATGATAGTTGCACGTTCGCAACGTATCGTAATCCACTTACTGACCAAGGATACCCAGATTCGAGGCACCGGTTATAGTTTCTCACTACTTTCGTAACTACGTATGTACCACCGTTGGAAACCCTGGCAAACTTTTTATCGCCATGGTTATCGATCCATATTTTGCTTGGAAAGAGAAGCATAAGAGAAAGCATATCGTCACTTTTTATCCAGAAAGTACACTCGAGGAGAAATTGTCGGCGTAATTTCGTAAAAAAAAAAAGAAAGAAAAAAAAATTGTAAAACAAATTTTAAGGGAACGTTGCAAAAATTCAAGAGACTTCAAGTTTCAAGATTATAGAGGATTACGAAAAAAATTTTTCAGTCTCCGTAAAGACGGATTTTTCTGTTTTCCGCAATATTTTCACGTTTGAAAATTCGTCGACGTTTTAATCTGCCTGTTAGCTTTAGAAAAAAAATCACAGAACAATTCCAACTGGACGGATTTCAATGTATGAAGCTTCTACCGTCGCAATACCGACGATGAGTATTCATCCTTTCCAAAGATTCTTTCACATTATTTCGGAAGAGATAAAAAGATACTTTTTTCTCTCGAAAATTTTGCAGATGCGAACGATGAATTTTTTTTTTCGCAAATACGATCTTGAAGATTAAATTTTATCCCTTAAAATCTGTTGCACGACGTTTTTCGTTTTCACAAAGTGTATAAGCGTATTATAAGAATTTTTTGGAGCAACGTTCGTACACATCAGCAGAAATTTACTGACTGCTCTCGTGATTGAATTTCATTCATAACAACAGACATCTTCCCGAAGGGTACAGACAAGTAGAAATTGATCGCCGTGTAAAAGTTCGAAATCAAATTGAATCGAGTCGAGCGAAGTAAGAAAAAGTTTCGTGATTTTGTCAGGAGAAAAAAGAAAAAGAAAAATAAAAAAAAAAAAACGCGTACAAGTGCACGTACATACGTGCATATACCGTATTTGCTGTGCTAGTTCGTTCACCTGAGTTTGTGTTTATTGATGTTACGCGCATGTGCCTCTGTTACACACTGTGGACAGATCACGCGATCGCGAACGGGCGAATCGCGGTGCCGTTCTCTACAGTTACGCTTACGTTTCTCATCTCGAGCAGAAACCGGTCCCCTCGCGGTGTCTGTTGCACTCGAGAAAACGGGTTGTTCGAGTTCGCGGCGGAGTTGGCGAATGAGACAAGGGAACGCAAGAGGAGAGGAGAGACATGCAGGCGGGGAGAGATGCTCGATGCACGGATGCATTACACGCTTCTCTATCGGATTAAGTCGGACGGCCGTTATGCTCATTCCAATCGAACGCATTCGCGTTGCTCCGCGGAATGCGATAAATACAAATATGGACGATTACGCGTCGAGGGGAAACGCGGAACGATAGTTTATTGTACTTATATGGCAGCGCTTGAATAAATTTGATTTTTTTTTTATTAGCGATAAATATTTATCTATTTTTTTATATATTTATATAAAAATTATATAATTTTTTATATATTTATATATAATTTATAATATTTATCTATTTTTTTAGAGTGTCTTGAACAGTTTTTTTTTGGAGTATCTTGAACAACGGAACACTTATGAGTCGAGAATTTTTTGCCCCAAAGTTGCAATATTTTCTCAAAATTTTGAGTATATTTAAATACAATCTAGATAACGTAAAGTAATAAATTTATTAATTCTTAATAATTTCTATCTATAGTGATATCATACCGACGAACTCAAGAAAGGAAGCGACGAATTATTGTGTACCGTTTGGTCACTCGTTATGGTCCGCGAACCAGTTGCCAGCGCAAGCGGTTAAAAACAATGCAAGCAAGGTCTTCACTTTGTTTCGTGTTCAATTTTAGAATAACTTGTTTCTAACGAAGGTAAATTTTTATTGATTTTGCTTTAAAACAATTTAGGGAAAGAAGTGTCACCCGTGTTCAAACGTTTTTTTTTTTTTTTTTTTTATCTTTTCGAGTTTCCAAAAAGATTGAAAGAATTTCGAACAAAATGTTCAAATGGTCAAATGAAATGAATCTTTTTGAAACGATATGACTTTGTCGAATAAAATAATTTCAATTATTCTCAGTGAAATTAAATTTTTTAAATCGCCACGTACGATCCTGAAGTGAAATCAAAAATCCCAAGTTCCTTATTGATACCTGTTGCATTAGATCGTTCGCAGAAGTAATTACGCGCGTAGAAAGTTTGCATCGCGAGGAAATGTAATACGGAAACGCGGCATGAAAAGGGAGAATGCGCGATAAAAAATTTCTCTTGTCGTGTTACGTGACCGACTTCGTACGTCCGACGCACACTTCGCTTGCAAGTCATTTCCAAGAGGAAATTACGTTT